TCCACCTCCATTATACCACCACTACCATCGTAGGCCACCTCTACCAATACTTCAACCATATCGGTCACAACTATATCCTCCACCACCGTAGACAACCACAACCACCACTATCCACCATATGCACGTCCTCCATAACCATCGTCGTGCACCAACCATCACTGACTCTACCTTCACAACCACCGTCAGCCTCCGACCACCACTACCCATCGCCACCACCACCTCCACCTCCACCTCCACCATCATCACCGCCTACCACTACTATTGCCCACTACCTCCACCACATCGGCTACAAACTCATCCTCCAACACTCTCAACTGCCACCACCACTTCCGTAACATCGGCCACAACTCTTCCAGCACTATCGACTGCCACCATCGCCACTATCCACTATCTTCACGTCCTCTATAGCCACCATCGTCCACCAATCACAAATGCATTTACCTCCACAACCATTATTGCTGCAATAATATTTATCATGCCTCCGCCAATTGATAAAGATCTTCTAAACTGAATAAAACATAGTTTTTCCTTTATATGAATCGGGTTTTTTTGAACTACCATCAATTCTATCAAATTTTAATTCAAATCTGGTACTATTATATAAGTATATATATAGGGGCCCATTCAAGGGAGAACTAGTTAGTTTGTGGTAACCGTGAGATCCAATCTCAACCACAAATCAATAGATAAATTAGAAAATTTATAATTTTAGTAATTTTTAATTAAAATTTTAATGCAAGGACATTTAAGGTATTTTCTCTCCTCTCTCCGTCCCCGTCTTCTGGCCACCGTCCTCCGGCCTCCGGCCACCATCCTCCGGTGATACCACAATGTGATACTCAAGCACATATAAGATGCATTGTGATACCACAGAATTACATATCCGATCGACCGCACAAACGACCACAGTGTGATACCCAATCACATATATGATGCATTGTGATATCACTGTGGTATCACCGGAGGACGGTGGTCGGAGGCCGGGGGACGGAGAGAGAAGAGAGGAGAGAGGAGATAGGAGATAGGAGAGAGGAGAAAAAAATACCTAAAATACCCTTGCATTAAAATTTTAATTAAAAATTACCAAAATTAAAAATTTCCTAATTTATCTATTGATTTGTGGTTGAGATTGGACCTCACGGTTACCACAAACTAAATAGTTCTCATTTGATTAAGCCCCTATTGCTCGTCGGTTTATTCAACCTTAGATTTCAACACAAAAATAGAACTCGGCGCAAATATACACCTTGAACTACTGTCATCTCGTAACAAGTAATAATGGTATAAGTACCAGATATCGTTCCCACATAGATAGCTTGTAAAGTTCTTCAAAAGTCCAGTTTATAAAACCTAATTTCAGATGGTGAAACGAGGGATTTGATTTATCTAAAATTTGGAGGTTTAATTAACAACTAGGAAAATATCAATCTTAAAAAGAAGCACAGAGTGCAACAGTTGAATAAGACATTAAACAAATGATTTAGCAAAAAGGTGACATAGCATTTCTGTCACAATTATCTAAAATCAATAAATGATTTTATATAACTGTCACAGTATCAACTATCAGGTCAGACGACCTCCCAAGAGCACACATCGGTCAACGTGCTATCGATACGATATCATTTATGTTAGACGTCGTGAATCCTAGCACAACACAGTGTTACCATCCTACACCGTAGGAGTATAGCATTTGTCAGACACTAAAACTATTTATAGCCTTCTCCTATTACCTTAGGTTTTGAAAGTCAATACATTTTTATACACAAAATTAGTTGTCAATTAATTTTAATGTAATCATCAAATGAAATATTAAGTACCTGAAATAAATAGTAGACTATAATGCTAATAAGACACCTTTGTACTTTCACATCGGCTTTGATCTTAATTTCCCGTTACACCCCAAGCTAAGGCGTTAGCCCATCATCGCTCGGTTTCTTCTCTCGAAGGATGTAAGGACTGAAAAATAAATACTGATACGGAAAAGTAAATTGCAGAAAGTAAATTGCAGAAAAGTAAATTACAGAAAGTAAATTACAGGAAACTGAAATACTGGAATTTAAAGTACTGAAAATTAAATGATTGAAATATAAATGACTGAAAGTAAATTGCTGGAAATTAAATGACAGAAATGTAAATTGCAGTAAAGTAAAGACTGAAATGTAAATGACTGAAATATAAAGACTGAAATGTAAATGACTGAAATATAAAGACTGAAATGTAAATGACTGAAATATAAAAACTGAAATGTAAATGACTGAAATTAAATAATTAATAACTAAATATTATTAATTAATATTAAACTAAGACATGATGGATGACAAGTACTTGATTAGATGGAGAGATGACTAACGAAAACCTTGAAAATGGAGTTTGACTTTGAGGAAGCTTGGAAGACAAGTAACAAAACTTGCAAAACAAGTTTCGTTACAAAGACCGAAAAATGTTACTTGCAAAACTCTTAAAAACAAATTATTTAGTCTACGTAAATTAGTCGTAAGCCACAAATGATGAAATCCAATGTAAAGCAACAGAGATCGACTAATTCGTAACTTGTAACAAAAATCAGAAAATGTAATGTAACTTGAAAATAAGAACATAAATGAGATGAAGATTAAATATGAGCACTTGAATTAAAACTTGAAAACGTAATCACAACTTCACTTCACAAAAGTCGGTTCTTGGTTGGAAGAAAGAAAACCAAAATCATGAAACCGAAAATAATATTCTAGAGAGCAAATGTTTATAACTCAAAGATTTGAGAAATAAACAATTAAGAAAGTAAGTAAAAGTGTGTAAATTGGTGAATTGGTAAGTAAACTCAAGCTTTAAGCCTTCTATTTATAGGCTAAGGGAGTTTGCTAAGTGGGAGTCACCTAATAAGACAAAAGACTCTTCAAAAACAGGCTTTGACCAGACCCAACAATCTCTAAGGAGCAGCCAACGGATTCTCGGCTCAGACAAAAGTGCAGCTCACGGACAGGTACTATAGGACTTTGTCACTCCTGGTCCTACATGACTGCTGCAGGATCGGGCCCAAAAATAATCAAAAACCTGCATAAACAGGGGATTAACATTAGATATACTATATTACTACTAATATATGAAAAAAACATAAAAAGACTCAATTAAGATACTAATGGGTAAATAAAACAAAGGAAAATGGTTAAGAAAATGATGTAATAAAGTTAATAAATTAACACTTATCACATATATATATATATATATATATGAACATTGTGTAATATTGTTTATAAATTGAGTTTTACTTTATTTGTATTAATTATAACTATTATATGATATATAAAATCATCAAATAACTTTTAGGGACAACTTGTCTAGTTGTATCCGATCCAGTCTTAGTCGTACCAAACACCAGATAGATACTTGTTTTGTATTGTCCTGCCCTTTCGTCTAGTTACCTTAGGTACCTACTTTACCTATGATAATGGTTCTATTCCTATTTTGTATAATTTACTTTGATCTAAAATGTATTTTTTTTAATTGTGGGTACTTGGTTTAGCTTACATGCTCAGTTCCTAATCAAGGGACCTTAATTGATCTGCTTCCTTTCTTAATCAAGTGTTTTCTTTCTAACTTCTAAATTATACTTTGTTGAATTATATATATTTGTTTCGATTGTTTAGATATGAGCCGATTAGCTTAATTAGGTTTCAAACCCCTTCAATAATTTATTTTGTTTGCGTATGTAAAGGGTATTTTTTGGCGTTTCATCATGGCATCTGAAGACTCAGGACCACTCCTACCACTACTAAACAGTCATGTATAACTGATCAAATAAGTTGTGAATCCATTAACCTCGTTAAGCTACTAACAAAAAGACCCTTGGATTGGTAACTATGAGAGATTTACCTATTAAACAATGTAAACTAATAATAAAATAGAGATAAAAATTAAGGGGTTGTTTGACAGTTGCTGAATGGTTTGGTGTAGAATAATTAAGTGGTCAGAATGATTAAAAAGCTTTCATAATATATAGTGCAGAATGAAATATAATTTTTTTGGTAACTGTTTACAATGAAATCAGGGCACTCAATGGTTAAGGGAGGTTCATGATACAAAATTATTCCAAGGGTTTTAGAACTATTATGGTGCATTTGGTACACTGGACAAGACATGACATGACAGAAAAGGACATAGATCCTTGTCCCATGTTTGGCATGACTTTTATGTGGAACAGACAGAAACAGAGTGGAACAAGCCTGTTCCATCCCTACCCCATGGAACAGGGTGGAACAAGGTGGAGCAGACTTATATTTTACCAATATAACATCAAAAAAAATTAATTCTCTTCTAAAACATCAAATAGGTCTATTTTTTTATATTTTATTCATTCTTTAAATTTTATTTATCATATTTTATGTTTCTTAAACTTTCATTTTACTGTCCTCAAAATATTATTTTTATACGATTTCTATATTTTTATTAATTTATGTAATTTATTATATATTAATAATAAAAAAATAATGTAGAAAATATATAAAAATAAAAAGTAGAAGCTACATAAACTTTTTATTTGGTGTCATTTTAATTGTTTTGACGTAAACTTCTAATGATATATTTTGTTATAAAAATTAAATTTTATTATAATTTAATAAATTACATAAATTAATTAAAATAAACAACTCATCAGGGGTAAATTTGTCATTTTACTTGTTCTGTTCTGTTCAGTTTTATCTTACCAAATGTTGAACAGTTGTTCTATCCTGTCCTATCATATTCTGTTCTATTTTGTCTGAATACCAAACACACTCAAGACATATTTTTTTTAATCAAATAAAATTTACTTTTTAATAATTTAGATGTTGTCTTTTAATTAAACTATTAAAAGGTAAAAAAAACCGATGTAAAAATATAAAAATCAAATGAATCCAAAGCTGGCGGCACACGCATTATGAAAACCTTGTGACCCACCCACAAACACCTTTTGGCCCCACAACAAAAGATAACCCCGTTAGCAGAAAAGCGAATATGCTTTGCTCTGATCATCTGACAATCAAATCTTTCATCTTCTTCCTCAAGTTTCATCTCTCCATATAATTTTACTTCCAGCTTTCACTTTGATTTTGGGGTTTGGTTCAATCAACCGAGATGTTACACCAGATTTTCTTCACAGCAATTGCAGCTGTTCTCTTCTTTATCCTAATTACAAAGATCGCTTTTGCTGTTATCAATGGCGATAAGTATGATAATCAACGTACAACGGCTCATGATTTAAGTAAGGTTATTGGAGAGGAATTGAATCCGAAGACGGAGAAAAGTAGTAGTAGCAAAAGAAAAGGTAAGAAGAAAGTTCGATTTGCTGTTGATCATGATGCGTTTATGGTCAATAAGGTCGTTGCAGGGCCATCAGAAACGAAACAGGTTGTTTTCGAGAAGGATCACGATGAAGAGTTGATAAGCTTAAATGACGTCGGATCTCCGGTGAAGTCGCCGGAAGAAGGGTTTGTCGGTGGTATTGAGACTGAAAATGCTGATTATGATGGTGTGATTGATTACGATCAGACCAAACAAGGCAAGATTGAATTGATTTATGAAGAAAATGTAGCGAATCACGATGATGAAGGTCTGATTCGTTTGAAATTAATGTGTGATGATGGTATTGATGAAGATCAGAAGGAGAAGGAAGGTCTGATTTCTGATGAAGATGATTCCGATGATTGGGAGGGGGTTGAAAGAAGTGATTTAGAGAAGGTTTTTGCCATGGCTGCAGATTATGGAAAGATGGATGATAATTTGGGGAATTTAGCAAGTGATATTCAGATGCAGCTGTACGGACTTCATAAGGTTGCCACAGAAGGGCCTTGTTATGAACCTCAGCCCATGGCTTTAAAGGTTTTTGCCAGAGCTAAATGGTATCACTCAACTTTCATCCTTATTTCTCCATATGTTTTCATGAATGAAATGTGTTAGATTCTGGTTTGGGTGTTTGGGATTGCTTATAAAAAAAACTTAATGACTTATTCCGGTATGACACCGGTAATAATCACTTTTGAGTGTTTGGATAAACAGCTTATACCGACGCCAAACCGGTAATAAAGAGTTTTTGAAGAAGTTAAACGATTCTAACTTATAATAAATTGATAAGGACTTTTGTAGAAAAGAATAAGTTGTTTCAAATAAGCAATCCCAAACACCCCTTGGATTTACTTGCACAACAACAAAATCAGGTTTATAAGATAAAAAAATGCGTACTTTTCCTAATAGATTGTTTATAACACTTAAATTTATAAGACAAAAAGCGAACTAATAAACTACTTTTAGAAAAATATGGGACATGCTTGAGAAGTGTACCAATACAGGACACTTGCTGTATAAATGCTTTATGAATTAATGTCATATATCTGATTTCAAAGTTGTCATGTCCAAAACGGTCTTATAAACTTATTGCAATACTTTTACATGTCACACAAATGATTGGTTCGTAAAACAGTTTATTAGAACACTTGGACATTTTTGAAGTCCTATCCGATTTTATAGTCGTGTTATCTAGAAAAAAAGATGAACTATTTACTAGAATTCTGAAACTATATGATGATTAGATAAGGTGTGAGATGGGATCTTCATGAAAATCAAGAAACATGTTCTGGTTGTAAGATAAAGGTGAGAAAGCATAAACATGAATGTAGCATTAGGATCTTCAAAATTTTCTAGAATGGAGAATAAGATATCAAAATATCCCAAAAAAATTACATTAAGCTCTATCAGTATTTTAAATTATATTATTAAAATATTCAATACATATAATAAAAATTTAATTTCAAGAATCTATGATTAGTTAAGATAAGAGGGGTGATGGGGGGCACTGATTATTACTGTGCAAGGAATGCATGGCAGAAGCTTGGAAACATGAATCCAGATGTGGCTATGGAGCAATATGTCACTCTCCTTTCCGAGAAAGTTCCCGAATGGTCTCATTCTCGTTCTGTTGTAAGTGTTAACGTTGTAACTAGTTGTTTTCTAATTCTGCATTTCTGAATGTCACTCATTTGGGTCCATAATTTTGGCAGGGAACCGATGTATCAAGCTCAATAACGACCTCAATTCTAGACACTTGTCATATAGAAAGGTTGGTCATGGCTTTCTCCCGTGTTTATGTAATGTAACATTCCATCCCACATGCATAGAAAACTAGATTTGTGAGCCCCTTATAAGTTCAACCAATAACTTCCACCATGGTTTTAATCTTTTATGTTGATTCGGAGCTTATTTTGTTAGCCTGGGGGCAGGGGTGTTACAGTTTATTAATTTTTGTCCAACATATATATATATATCCAGGAAAAGAGAAATAGAGTCATGTTCTGATGCTGGTGATCCAATTGGAGTTTCAGATTCTATGAATGAGGTACTTGTTTTTGTTTCTAAAGTGAATATCTCATATGCTAAAATCTTTCTGTGTCTGAATGAAATCTGAACTGCATTGTTGATCTGTCTAGTTTTGTTACCGGTATTATGATATTGATCAAGAACTAGAAGATGGAATTTGACATTTGATTTGGTGATGATACTTTCAGGATAAACAATGACTGGGTAATTTCGCACTTATGGTTGCTTCAGGAAATGAAGGTTAATTTATCGTATATTTTTAACGTATCTTGATATCTGGGTGTTCAACTGTATAATCAATCTCGGTGTATAGGGAAATGAATTATTATCTGTATAGATTGCAACGAATTTATAAATACTAATAACAAAATCCAACCATTTTTTAATGAATTTGTTTTCTTTTGGATCATTAGTTTTTGTTATATGTTAGAATCATTATAAGGCTTAGTAGTACCACCAGAAAACATAAATCTAGGGGTCATTATTAATGGAGAAAAATCTTGTGCCTATTCCAACTTAAGCATTCATTAATTCTTGTTTCTAGAATTGTGAGGACCTCCTCCATACCCATTTCCTCCACCATCTGAACCCATGTTGCTGCTGCCATCACCGCCAAGATTACCGTAACCGGAGCCTGGACCTGTCCCAGAGCCAAATGCTCCGCCACCACCACCACCACCACCACCACCACCTAAACCTCCTCTTGAACCATAGCCACCACCAAATGGACTTCCTCCGTTTCCATATCCACCCCAGTTTCCAGGTCCTGAGCCAAACCTGCCACCTCCACCTGTGTTGCCACCGCTGCCGTATCCAGAACCAAAACCACCTCTGCCGTCACCAGAAGGGGAGTCAGAACCAGAACCAAATCCACCTTCATTGCGCCCACCTGGATCTGATCCACCATCACCACCTCTGCCTATATTACCACCACCAGAACCAGAACCAAAACCACCACGACCACCACCTCCGCCCATATTACCACCTCCATTGCCGCCACCAGCACCACCACCACTTCCGCCCATATTACCACCACCAGAACCAAAACCACCACGACCACCACCTCCGCCCATATTACCACCTCCATTGCCACCACCACCACTTCCGCCTATATTACCACCATCACCACCAGAACCATATCCACGGCCACCACCTCTACCTCCACCTCTTCCTCCGTTACTATACCCACCCCTAGATGATCTTGACCCGTATCCTCTCCCTCGACCACCAGCAATTCCAGGACCGTCATAGTTAGCCGCTGTAACGTATTTCTTTTTATACTCTTTATCCATTTCATGAGTTTGATCACTCCACATCCTTCCCAATCTAGCTGCTTCAACAGTTAGATGATAATCAAGCCCCAACCAAACAGCCACAAAGACAGACAAACACCAGAAAACAATACGCATGATTGATATATCCTTAGCCAACTCCAAATTAACACAATTCACTGAAAAAGAAATGGACTAAAAAGCTTGCAATTCCTAAAGATGATCAACTGTTTTCTATAGAAAAATGAAGGAAGGGCATAAATATATATGATTCCAAATGCATTGTTGGTGAGCATAGGAGTACGATGGGTGTGGGGTGGGCTATGGCTATGGCTATGGCTAGTTTGGTAGTCAGAACGATTTGCATGATTGAGTTACTGAAATTGTTGAACCACCCTCGTAATTAGCTACCTGCTTATTGTTGCCATACTATTTGTATTTGGTGAGTTGAGTTGAGTTGGATCGGGAATGGCTTCAGTTTCAGCGATCTGTATCAGTTTTGAGCTTTAAGCTGATTTGATATCCAACTTTAAGCTCTTTTTACTTTACTGTCGTAATGTGTCCATTCGTTGGATAAATATATATTTAGGTTGCATTTGATACATTGAACATGACAAGACAAAACAAAACAGAGATCTTTGTTCCATGTTTGACAAACTTTTATGTGGAATAGACATGAACAAAACATAGATTTTTGTTCCATGTTTGATAGGACTATTGTGTGGAATAGACAGAAACAAAGTGAAATAGGCAAGAACAAAGTGGAATAAGCCTGTTTTATCCCTACTCCATGGAACAGACTTATATTCTATTAATATAACCTCAAATAAAACTTAATTCTCTTCTAAAACATCAAATATGTCTCATTTTTACATTTTATTCATTCTTTAGATTTTATTTATACTTTTTAAACTTTCATTTTACGGTTCTCAAAATATTATTTTTATATGGTTTCTATATTTTTATTAGTTTATGTAATTTATTATATATTAATAGTAAAAGATGATGTAGAAAAGGAATAAAAATAAAAACTGGAAACTGTATAAATTTTTTTATTTTGACGAAAATTTTTTAATGGTATATTTTGTTATAATTTAATAAATTAATCAATATAAATAACTCATTACGAGTAAATTGATCATTTTATTTGTTCTGTTCTGTCCAGGTTTATCTTATCAAACGCTGAAGAAGTGCTCTATCTTGTCATGTTCTGTTATATATAGTCTGGACACTAAACACACCCTTAATAAGTTCATTCATGATGAAACTTCAAATTCATTTATATTCATCAATGAATGTATATCATATTTGTCCATAACTCAGTCTATATATTGTATATTCATTAATGAATATACACTATGTACATAATTGAAATTCACATAATCCATATGACTAGTAAAGTATGAGATAAAATGTTAGATTATAGAAGCTATGAAAGTATCTCCCATAAACATAAATATAATGCAATGAACAACAAAATGAAGCAAACCTTCACATGACATACAAGGGTGGTGTTTGATTGATTTGAGCTTGACTCCAAAGGTTAAAAGTATCAGGAGGTCATAGGTTCAAATCTAAGGAGGAATAAAAATCCCCTGTCAAATGCGGTGACTTTGGACTATCTGCAAAACAGGTGATCGTCCTTGGATTAGTCAGCTCGCATAGCGGGTTGGATATCCCGGTTAATCAAAAAAAAAAAAAAAAAAAAACCCATCATCATACACAAAGAAGATTATTCGATTGTCATTTGAATCTGACTCTCGAAAAGGAGAGATAATAACGTCTTACTTAACATGTGTGTCATTTAATGCTTGATTGGGATGCAAAAAGACAAGCGAGCTAGATTTGTACCGTTAAAAAGTCCAAGTGGTTTTCAGTGAGATATTTATTAAGAAGATCGTTTTAGATTCATTCTTGTATTTTTATTTTATTTTAATGTTGTTTTAACTGTTTAATCAAAATTAGTATCATCAAAACAATTATGACATAAGAAAAAAGACAACTCATACGTCAAATCCATGGTGATGGATACGATTTCATGTTGTTCTTCGAAATATCACCAAAAAGACAAAAAGTTACTCTAACTACATTTAATAAGTTTGAAATTACTTTCACTCGAGCTAGAAATCTGTTTACGATCAAATAAATGCAAGTCTTGGGCTTCTTGTCAATCTGGAGTAAATCAGATCAATTGGCTATATGCTTTACTCAAACTCTATCAATTGTTACTATAATTCTGAAATTATACCGATGCAGCAGTGACCTCATGGGGGCGTAAGGCATCCGTTAAGTGCCCATCACGTGCAAGCCACGTGAGAGTATTTTGATTATTTATCAATTTTCTTTTGTAATCTTTTTAACGTACAAATATATAATGCATATGTAGAAGCATTTGGAATTAAAAATAAAATAAACCCCGTCCACTACATCATCCTGAACCATCGAGCACCGGTCGCAACCATCTACTTCCCTTTTCATCATATATCATTGCTACGACTTTGACTCATTGGAGTTCCGATCTCCTTAATATGGATGCGTTGCGGGATTTGCCTGCCATTTTGGTTAATGATAATAGATTTGTTGCAGTGGTTGTGGATTTGATGAATGTGGGCTTGCTTGAATTTGATTGGTTGAGTTTTTGTCGATGGAACCATGCTATTATTGATTTTGGTTGATATGAATGTGAATTATTTCATGTGAATGTAATAGGAACAAAAGGTATATAAAAATACACTCAAGCAATCTATCTTACTAATATAATAAGAATTAAGGGCCTTCTGGGGAAAATCGTTCCATTCAATTGTAGAACTGTTAACGTAAATCTGAAAACAGAGATTAAGAAATAATAGTATTTTAGATGACATTTATTTTTTAAAGAGATGTTGAAGTTTGAAGTCTTATTTCACTTCTAATTACTAAGAGGTGATGAAGTTTGAAGTCTTTTTCACTTCTAATTACTAAGAGGTGATGCTGAAGTCTGAAGTCTGAATCAATAATATTGTTTGTTTTTGTAAACTGACAAACGTTTGAAGTCTTATTTCACTTCTAATTACTAAAAGGTGATGCTGAAGTCTAAAATCTAAATCAATAATATTGTTTGTTTTTGTAAACTGACAAACGTCTGAAGTCTGAATCAAATTTTTTTTTGTAAAATCAGGTGCAAATTTTTTGCAAAATTCTCTTCATTTTCATAAATTTTCATTGCCGAAGTTTATCTCAACAATTGCTTAACAGATGGAACACAGTAAGAATCTTTTGGATACCTTTCAGACTTCCGATGCTATTGGGAATGCCGCCAGTGAGTTTGTTTGTGAAAAAATCGATACTTTTCATAGAGGATAGATCGTCGATAGAAGTTTTTGTTTCACATTGATCTTCTAAGCTAACATATACGTACAAAAATTATATAAAACTAGTTATGTACCCACCCGCACAATGCGGTGGGATTTCAAATTCTCCAATACGCCTACAACTAAAAATGAGTGCAACTATTTATCAAAAAGTACAAAATTTATATTTAAACATTCGATTTTTCAGTGAAACCCTTACAATGGTTTAGTGAAAAAGAGAATCAAAAGGATAAAATAGACGTACACATTTTACTAATACCTTCTTTTGTGTGGATAGGATGGTCTAACCTCAACAATTTCTGTAAGAAAATTCATAAACAAACCAAAAGTGAACGGAGCACGTGAAGCCTTCAGAACATGCAACTTTTTGTCTATAATAAATACAAGCAACATGAACTTCTAATTGATAGTCAACAGCAGGAAGGAGCATCGACGATTTTCTTTAATCAAGTTACACTTTCATCCAAAATACAAAAGTAGAACATTTTCCAACAAATAAGGATGTACATAACTGATATTGTTATAATTTAAAGAGATTTGTGGTGACTGGTTTATTGGTATACAATACCTTTTATCCAACCTTTTTGTTCGAGATTTCTTCGTTCCTACCGTACCGTACCGCTACTGCATATATGAACTGGGTCGCCCGGGTATAGAAGCTATGGATTTACTTTGAATGAGCTCGACTGCTTCTCCTCCAAACTTCCTTTAAATTTTGTGGGTGGCGTAGCCACCGAGATCAATGCAATTAGTTATCCATACTATATAATAAAACATTTGACGAAAACTCTTAACAACCATTTTGTATACATGAAGTACTGTTTATTGATGCTAATTACTTAAAATTCAAGAATACAAGTAACTGTGTGTAAATACAACTTATTAAAGTTCCATGTTTGAATTCGTGTAACTAACTGCAGATAAATATAATCAAATAGAGAATAAACATCTCATTTTAAATATAAAAAATCTAAATATAATTAGGATAATAATTGAGTTATAACATATTTATACTATATTATAAATCATTTGACAAAAACTCTTAAAACCCATTTTTTATGCATTAAGTACTGTTTATTGATGCATATTACTTAAAATTCAAGATTACAAGTAAATTGTCCGTATGTACAACTTATTAAAGCTTCATGTTTGAATTTGTGTAACTAACTACAGATAAACATAATCAAATTATGGATAAGATTCTTATTTTAAATATACAAAATCTAAAATATATTTAAGATAATCATTGAATTCAAAATACTAAATATTATCTTTATAAAAAAATTATATTATTAAACTAAAAATAAATGACTTCATTATCAAATCTAAATTAAATTATAATAAAAATAGAATTAAAGAAATTACACAAAAAAACAACTTTTAAATATTTAATTTGATACAAAAATCAATATATTTTTTTCAAAATTTTATGATACCTTCAAATTTACATTTTATTCAAAAAAAATATTATCGTTTTTTTGGTACCACATAAAATCATATTATAACATCGGCGGAGACAGAGACAAAATAAAATGAAACATTAAAATCAAGATATATTTCGCTGCATTGCACTAGTACCCTTCTAGTGTTCCATAAATGTAACAATCTTCTTTCTACGATGCTTTAACATTACATTGCAAGTTTTTTTTTTTTTTTTTTGCAACGTTTCAAATCCAAAACTTTATGTTTCTCCATTAGTAACCAATGCAAAATAACTATAGCATTGGTCATAATCCACATGATTATCCCCTGTGATCGTTACAACGTTTATACCTACTTTAGATTCAAATAATCATCTATGCGAAATGATGGTATTAGTAGCTTCTACAATCATTCGTAAAAAAACAGATCTTTCATGTGAAATGTGTATTATAATAATAACAAAACCTTTGTAATTGTAATTATCTGTGCAAAAGAATATGATTCAAAGTGACTTTCCGATTCTATTGAACGATAAATCTTCTCGCCAATCCTTTTTAAGGAAATATATCCATAACAAGTTACAAGCATTGAAGGTACAATGTTCTAAATAGTTTTTCTGGGCCATTCTTGATCCAAATTAGTTTTTATTCAAAATGATTAAAAATTACAGATCACACAGGATTTGATTCTAACAAAAGAATGTGTCTACCCGAAATATACTTTCAAAACTCTTTCGAATGAGACTTAATTCAACATTAATGACATGTCTTAATTCGACAAAACACCCAATAAAGAATGAGACTTGACTCAACATATTCTTTAAAAGGCTGATCAAGATCAACATCCTCATTAAACAAGTTTGTCCATAATGTTGTACTGTTATCTGCATTCACCTTCTCATTTTCCTGCCAATAAGGTAGCTGCAATTAATGCATCGATTCCAAATGAAAAACCGTCTAGAAATGGAAAACTAATGCATTGATTACAGTTGAAACCGTGCAGAATTGGAAAACTAACCTTGATATCGATTCCAGTAGAAAACGTGTAGAAATGGCTTTCTAAGTGGGATGGATCGACATTAAGATTGAAGTATGTGATTAGAACCCCTTGGGAACATACAACCTTAAAAGTTAAAGCATTAAACCCTAAGTAAAGGATAGGTTGTACATAATGCTTTAAGAATTGTAATGAAGAGATTTTAAGACTACTACATAAATTAGTAGTACAAAGTGCAATGAAAGTTGTTTTCAAGACTTTAAGACTTTGTGCATCAAAATGGTTGATAAGGTAATATTAATATAGATATGTATGTATATATGCATGTATAACTTTCGTGTTTTTAGAAATGAGATCAAGTTCACAGTTCACAAGGAGTACCACCTGATAACAATCTAGCATTTCGACCTCGTGCACATGCAGCATCACTGGATCCCCAAATTAACCAATTTACCAGCACATCTTGTGCAAACAAACCCATCAAGACAACAACAAAAAAGAACTTTTAGCTTTCATCTTTGATAGCAAAGGCATCATTTCAAGTGGCCTAGTTTGACCAT